CTCGCCTGTACATAGAAACCGGCGAATATATTTGTAACAGTTTAATTTGATATCTCTGGTAGGAGAATATCTGAAAATAAAACCAAATCAATAATCAAACAATTAAAGACCAAAATGATTTTTCATTAACCTTAAAATTCAAACATATGATAACATTGCTGAATGAAATGCGATGTACAAATATTGACATCTTAAAAACCAACCTTACATTTTTTTCTTAGTGTCAAACGTTGCTTTTTATGATAAATGTTTTATTTTTTTTTATTTTATTTAATTATTATCAGTTGTAAGTATCAGACCGTTCCTTTACACTATATTGACAAGCCCGTCACGTGACTTGGTAAACGAACATTATAAATGCTTCAATTAAGTATTGAGAATGCAGGAATACACATCTTGACTGCATTATTTGCTGCCCAAGTATCATATAGCATTACAAAGCTATCTCTTAGTAATTTATCGTTATACAATTTTCATTGCGGTAATTAATACTGTAAATGATATCTAAACTACCATTACATGTATGTCTTGAGATATAAAGTGTAAATACATTATTATTATTTTTCATTATTGGTTTTTTTTAATAATTTGAATGTTAAAGTGACAAATTCAATGAATGTTAAGCGATGTTATTAAAGTTTGGATCTCGTTTATTAAAAACAATCTACATTTTTATGATAACATCGGATTTTGTATCCTGATAACCATCAGAAATTATCTAGCCTTAGCTTAAAGCGATTTCAATATGACATGAACATGACCAATTTTTCAACTTTTATCATGCATCGAATCTTTCATTTTAATTACTTAAGAATTCTTATTAATATCTTTTTATCATCATTATCAATATTACAAAATTTAATATTATTTGAACTCATTTAGTTGTGACGAATTTCAACATAGATGATATCAGAAATATCTTTATAATAAATAGGCCTAGTCTGATTGCCGAAACAAGGTAGAGAAAATCCTCTTTAATACTCTTGACAGCACAGTCTATATTTCATATCCATTAAACTTTGGAATACTGTAAGTACATCAATACTCGCTTATAATTTAGGTAAAAAATGTCTCTTGTTGAAATCAAAGAAACCCCTTGTCAACATTGACTTAAACTTCATCAAACTTTCAAATATTAGAATCGGTGACCCCGAAGAAACGGAAAGAAATAATGTATGGGATAACATTTTTGTTCTTTCTTTTTTCTTTCTGTTATTTTATTCCCTATCAACCTCTAAAAAGTAAACATCATGATTTGTTTGATGCATACCACTATCAACTGGACAGGTTTGAAATTCGAATTTTGCGTGTATCAGGTGCTACTGACGTTTGTGAGTGGTCCAACTTAATGTATTTAGTAATATTATTTAGTAAATTCAAGTGATTTTGACCCGTACTCAACTGACATACATGTATTAGTCTATGTTTACGTACCAAATCGTTGTGCCGCAATTTTGTCTACCAAGGATTTTTAGCACGAATGCGCTCGTTTCCTGATAGATATTTCATGAACGGGAAGGGCTAGAGACTTGTGGTTGGTCTCGTTTGGAAGCTTAATACAAACCTGAAATAGTGATGAAAGGTTTTTTAATTGTCTGGCCAATTGTTTTCACAACGGTCCGGGATATGAATCCCTTGCTCGTAGGCTCGAATCTGGAGTTATCGGCCTTCTCTTAACTGAAAGTATATTTTTAAAGGGGATCATTATTTACTTTTTTTTGGTTTTTGAAACTGTTAAGATGAACACATGTTTTTTTTTTATCAATCTGGTCATATTTTTTCTTCCCATGTCCGATACTCGTGCCTGTGCCTCTTCCCGCCCTCACAGTCTTTGAGAAAGGAAATCATTTTTTGTTCGCGTTTTCTGTTCGTGTTTTTTCCTCGATAAAAAGTATTATAGCTTTGTTTTCATTTATTATTTATGACATACATTTATGTCAGTATTTTTCAGTTTTGTCGTAAGACGTATATGTATATGGCTATCAGCTATTTGTGATACTATCTACATGGTCCGGTATAAATGTTGTTTACCCGAAGAGATTTTTATCAAGATTAAAACTATATACATAATTTGGTGATTGTAATTTAAATTAACTGGATCATATCCAACAAGTATTAAGTGAGAAGTTCAAACATTAACATTCATTAGTGGCGTTGAATTTACAAAAGATCACATATACTTGACATATTTCCCCAGCTTCTATAAAAAGGTAAAGGTAAAGGTCTTGTTTATTATAGTGTCACCCCTACTGAAAGGGCCAGCCATTTTGACTTATGAGACACCTATTGGTTGCATACCATGTACCTCCCAATTTTCTACCACTATACCAGGCGCCAGGCGGATAGAAATCGGTAACCATTCATTTTAACTACCTCGCGGCTCACGAAGCGGCCATTTCGGAACGAGTCCCACGAGAAACATTCGTCCTTCAATTAACGCTCCCCGTGGGGCTCGAACCTTCGACCTCCCGATCCGAAGGCGGACGCCTTAACCACTAGGTTATATTCTATAACTAGAAAAATAAATAGAGGATATTGAATGAGTGTCAGATAATGAACAATGTGAAATAATACCGCCATTAAGACTTAATAATGACTTGTATGTATTTACTGATAAAGAAAAGGCAAATGCGCTCAATGATTACTTTTTCTCTGTATCATCTATTGACTTCTTTACCAATTTTCAATCTTAAAACAAACGAATCTTTGTGTGAAATAATCATTAACGAAGAAGAAGTGAAAGGCATTCTTTCATGCTTAATAATAAAAAAGGCTAGTGGACCAGATTGGATAAGTCACCGTATTATTCAATAAACATCTGCTAGCATTCGTAAACCTCTATGTTCTCTTCAAGGAAATACATATCCCACATGATGGAAAAACGCAAGCGTTATGCCATTATTTAAAAAAGGGAAGCACGATCTTTGTTCTAGTTATAGACCAATTTCTTTAATAAGTTGCATAGGGAAAGTTATGGAAAAAATTATATTCAAATATATTTTTACAACCATTTACATATGAACAATCTTATTTGCAAATATCAATCCGGGTTTGTTCCAGGCATTCTACTGTATATCAATTAATTGACAATAATCATCAAATGATGAAAAGAAATCAACTTTTATAGTGTTCTCTGATATCTCTAAAGCATTTGACCGTGTTTAGCATAAATGTCCACTGTATAAACTGCATCAGTACGGCATAACAAATAATTTGAATACTTGGATTGCTACCTATTTTTGATTTATGATAATGACATTGCTGAAAACCCACTTAGATTGACTCGTCTTTTTGCAGATGATAGTTCTTTATCAGTAACAAGCGAAGATTCTAAATATTGAAATATAGAAATGACTCTAAATATTGATCTTAAAACTATTACTGAATGGGCAGACCAATGGCGTGTAACCTTTAATCCTAATAAGACGTATTATTGCGTTCTCTTATTAGAAATGAAAGACCTTTTTTGTACTTCAACAAAGTTCAACTTAATTACAGTCAACACCACAAGCATTTTGGGTTAACCTTAAGTTATGATGGAACTTGGCATGAACATATTAATAATATAACTAACTCGGCTTCCAAAATATTAGGTTCTTTGCGTTTATTAAAGTTCAAATTAAATAGAACAACATTAAATAACATTTATATTTCCTACATGAGGCCTGTATTAGAATATGCTAGCGTTATTTGGGATAGTTGTACCTTATATGAATAAGAAAAAAAAAAAAGAAAAAAAATACGATATGATATTGCGCGCTTAGTAACTGGTTTGACTCGCTCTGTGTCTATAGGAAGACTTTTGCACGAAATAGCTCGCGTTTGTTCAGCAGATCGCCGTTTAATGCAAAAAATATCAATAATGTATAAAGCCAAAAATGGTGAGCTTCCAAGTTATCTGGAAACTTAGTTCCCAAATTTTGTATCAGAAAGTAGCCAATATAACCTTAGAAATAACGATAATTACGTAACAATAGCACGACGAACATAAATATTTTCTAGATCATTTATACCCTCAGCAATTTCGGCATGGAATAGTCTTGATAATGATATACTTGACTCGCCTTTTTTAAATGTGTTCAAAACTAAACTTATGGATAAATTCAAACCCACACTTGTCCCTAAATATTATTTCATTGAAAAAAGATAAACATCTGTTTAACATGCACGTTTAAGAAATAGATGTAGTAATTTGAATGATGATCTGTATAGAAATCACTAAGCAAACTCCCTTGTTTATGAGTTTTGCCATATCGAGGAGGATGCTGGACATTTCGTTTTTAATTGTAAACTTTTTGGTGATCAAAGACTCCAACTTTTCACTTTCACTCGCCCTTTTCATCCATTAAGTACAAGAACTCTTCTTTATGGAAAAGAAAATTTATCAGACGAGGAAAACTCTTTTTTATTTCATAAGGCTCAAAAATATATATAAATATACAGATAGATTCAAATAATAACAAATAAGTACATGTAAAAATAACAATCATTGTTCCAATTTTAATTCTCCTAATTCCCCTTATAAATGACATATTTTTGACAGCCACACAAACCATCACACACTGCAAGTGCAGGAAAATTACTATTATTTCTAATATTTAAAAATTGATTAGCAAATGTTTTTTTTTTTAATTTAATGTCAAATTCTATTTGCTACTTTGTTTTTGTATCCGTCTTAATATTTGAAATTGCTCATGTGTACAGTGTTTAAACATGTTTTCGTTTCTATTTCTTATAATGCTTAAAGGAAGGACAGTTACTAATGTTGCTAGAACTTGTTCAACTTTTTGCCTTTTGTTAAAAATGTTTTTTGTGGAAATAATGTTTTTAAATTGTATTCAAAGAGCAATAAAATATTATTCAACTTAATAAATTTCCTTTATTTCTTACACAATCACTAATATCCAATATATTTTTGAAATTTCCCGAAGGGTAGTTAAATAATTAAAAAATAATTGACTTATGATTTTTATCCCTCGGCAATTCCATTTTTTTCTATTATATAGTGACTACTCAGATATCTGTATAATTTTCATTTATTTGTTTGCGTAGCAGCAAATACACAATGGATGTCTTGAAAATATTTTTTCTTGTAATGCTATGTAAGTATATATGTTTAATTCAGAAAATTGTAATATTTTGAGAACAAATATTTCATTCTTTTATTTATGGGGTATTTTCTAATTTATAGTGATAAGTAAATTAAAAGAAACTTTTTTTATAGAGGGTCCATTTATTTAATTTACAGTTTCACGTATTTTTCATGTACTGTTTATAGGGCAAGTGGACAGGGTAGATGCGCAGGAGATACTCAGTGAGAGAAAAAACACTTTGAGGTCGATAGAAGAATTGATAGTGTATATAAAACTTGGGAAGGATGAGGTTTGTGCTGGTGTACAAATGTCTGACGCTTGGGTTCTCACTCTTGCTGACTGTATCGATACTAAAATGTAAGTTGTATCATATTTTATTACCAAGTGAAAAATATCTGTTTTATATTGATATTAATTATTTCAAAAGAGGAGCCAAATAAGCATTTTTACCACTGGCCCGTTACCCCTACAGGTTAAAATCGCTTCAGTGACTTTTGGATTCTTCAATCTGGTAAGCTATCTATTTAGCCTAAAGAATGTTGGTGATCGTCCCCCTCCACCAGTAAAGCTGTAAAATCGCAACATGACCCGTTCTGTGCTTGTGCGACGTAAAACCAAACCAAATAAATCACACGTTACAAGGGCAAATTCAAGTTTTAAGTAAATATTTATAACGCAAGAGTGGGCACAAGGGTCGCCATCGTGAAATATCGTTACTCACACGAGACTGACGAAACCGAGATTTGGACGTCTTTAAGCCCCTTGTAGTAATCCACCGGGTTAGGCATAATTCAACATTAAAACAAGAAAACTGTGATTTTTTTTAATTCAGAAACATCCGCAGTTGTTTATATGGCGGTTATCATGGAATATCCAATGTGATACCTTCGTGCCATTCCATGAAAAGCGGCGTATGGTCCCCAAATAAAAGAAAGCGTGAGCCCTAAACATGAAAACAATGGATAGAACTAAACAAAATGGAATGCTGGCAAATATTGTGTATTTTCAAAAACGTTAATTTTTCTTTTCGTTATTAAATAGCTCTGAATATCTTTCAATCTTTATTTGAAATCAATACACCCGTCGTTACATGCGATTTATAAAAAGATAACGTTTCATTGCCTTCATTGCTACAAAAATCAACACAAATATAGTTTATTAGTTTTCTCTATGTATCTAAAACGATCCCGGATACCAGGCGTCGCGGATCCCGGGTTTTCCCCCTACCGATTTGAAAACATGCGCAATTGAAATTATTGAATTGTTTTGTTTGTTTGTTTTTGTTTTGAAGTTTGACGGAAAGGGCCAAATTAAACCATTTACTAAGAAAAAGGAAAAGGTTTTGTAAATCAATTGTTTAATGTTTAAAATATGAGTAGCATACCTTTCTAATGATATAAAATATTTAACTGTTTAAGGAAAATAACTTTATAATTATTATTACAAAATTACTATAATTTGCATTTTATCAGCTGCAATATCTTTTGCAAATGATTCACAAGTTATCAGTATGTTTATATATAAGTACTAGCATTTCCAAAATTGCCTTGAATCGCCGTTCTACCATTGGCATAGTTCTTGTCTAATACCTTTGTTGTATGTGGTCAACACATAAAGGCAACAAAAATACATATATAAGATATATCTTATGGCATTTCTTATTTATATGATTTATATATATTCATTCTTGGACGGTAGCGGCATTATAAAATAAGAAATGTTTGCCAAAAGGTATTTATAATAAGAAAAATTAACAGTGATTGAATCAGCCAACTGCGTAAAATAGCTATAAATAGCTCGCCGCTATGGTAATAAAAGTGATGACGTCCCCAAAAAGTAAAAAATAACTTAAATATATATAAAGCCAATTAGCACGAAAATAACGCAACGACCGCTGTGGTGTAGTACTTACACTGGACAGGCAATCCAGAGACCCGTGGTTCGAATCTCGGCTGCGGCGTACCGATTTTTCATGCGATTTTCTATTTATAATTTCTCTCTCATGACATGTATTGTAAAAATGTCGACGTCATCGTCAATTTTTGTTCACATCAATACAATAAAGCTCACCACTAAATAAAACTAAACAAAAATTGATAGCGTCAATCACAACCTGCCAAATCAATTCATTTTTCTGACATATCATATTAGTTTTGTGTGTGCAAAATTGCCCGTCTGTTTGAAATGCTAAAGTAATTAGATGGCTATATTTCATATATCGTAGAAATTCATTTTTCTCATTGTTTTGATTTTTATTTGATTTCTTTGTATTTATTAATTTTTTAGCAAGCTTGGAAAGTACAGTATAACATACCAAGATGGTTCAAAACAGGTCATTGCCGAAGACAGGGTGAGTGAAAAATGAAATTAGTTTTATTTTATATGCACGATACTTTATAATTTTCTTAAAAAAGTGGATAGGTTTACAATGCGCACATTTTCCATATTTTTTCAAATACTGATTAAAAAAATAGAAATTTATGATATTGATATTCTCATAGCTAGGAAAACTTATGTTGATAAAGTTCTTATTGGTTTAGAATGATCAATTATATGATGAATAATAATATTTTGTTCTAGAACATTTTATTATATGCTATATAAATACATGATATTTTAATTTCGGATCATGTATCTCACACTTGCCAACAACTTCCAAAAATAATAGCTTCGTAATTTGCTTTTGTCTGATACTGAATTATTGACTGTATTACAGACCTTCTATTATACACCAGTTTACTTTAATTCTGTGGTGTAAGTTTAAGAAAATACCAGGAAAATTGTACAAAAAACACAACAATATGTTGTCATTCTACATGAAATGGATATGAACTTTTGATTTTTAAGTATTGTATATGACGCAATTGCAATTTTGTTGAGCTTCAATGAGTGAGACTGAAAAAAGGATAGGAGCAACACACTAAATACCGTATTCCGGTTTATACCGGACAAAGCGCTTGAATCATAAAATGCTTAAATCTTGCCTTTTTACCCAACGGAGTGAACTTTAATGGGTCTTATTCATCTTTTCACACCAATTTATGTATGATAATGGATGAAAAATGTAAAAATCGGCGAAAAAAAAAAACAACGATATTTGTCTGTTTTGTGATCATTATTTCTGCAAACGTCTAGAGGTACTGCTCCAATCCAAACTCCTCACAGCGGTTACGTCACGCTTTGCTTTTTTAACCACTGCCACCACTGAAATCACGTGACGCTAGTTGTATCATGTGACGAAAACATGATGGCCAGTTTCAGAACGCCAAGGATTCCATATCTAACTGGCAGATTTATAATTACATCCTTACCAGATAAAATATGTTCAAAACACTCAATTCGTTTACACTATAAAACAAATGCCGGATCAAATTCTTTTGCGCAATCGTTCAATAACTGTCTAACTTTCGTCATTGTTTACTATACATACGTGTCTCAGTAAAAATATCTTTCGTTATGTTTACAAAATATAATTTTAAAACGTATATTTTTTACATTCTTGTACATTAAGCATAACAATTTAATGAAAGAAAACTAAAATGATATAAAGTATTCTATTTTAAAATTAAAAGTGAAAAAATATATTCGGCTCTCTGACGACCGAATTTACTTGTGGTGACAGCACAGACACTTGGGGTGTGGAGCTCAAAACGCCTTTAAAATCCAAATAAAATATATATTTGTCAAATCCAGCACATGTACTGATCATATATAAAAAAATTGATATAAGTCGTTTTGAAAAAAAAATCATATTTCAACAAGATAAAACTGTTCGCCGGAAAAAATCCAGTGGCAGTGGTTACTGTACTGATTAGAGGAAGTAACCGCTGCGGGGAGTTTTGGCTCCAATCCTGTATGGAGTTAAATCCAAGTTTCAAACAGTTCAGCTAAATGCCCATCTCACACAGAATACTGTTGGACTCACGGTTCCCATACGGTATACTCGGTTAAACACGGATTGACTGGTACGAATATTTAGCTCCAACCATGCCTGGTGATTAGTCGGCACGAGTAAGACTTAAATTTGAATGTAGCACGAGTATGTACGAATAAAGGATGGAGATCCTCGGTCAAGCAAGGTTTGAACACGACTTGCATACGAATACAAACGATTGTTGTACGGTTCCAAGTGCGGTCTAGTACGGTCTGGTACGATCAAATACGACCTTTACTTGATTTACTCGATTTTCACAGGGTTTACATAGGGCCACGCCGACTTTTGTTCCAGTTATGCTGGAATTATGACATATTCGTGTATGTTTTGATATCTAATGGCTTCGCTTCATAAATGTTCGAACTTTTAACGAAGAACACCTATATATGTGAATATTGGTTATGTTAAACAATGGCAGATGCAATAGATGACATGATAAGGGAATTACAAATCATGAAAAGACTGATAGACATTGGTAGTCCCCCAGCTCATCAGGCTCGGCAGGGTCAGAAAGTTGGAGTGGTCGGCGGGCGTGGATGGCCCTTCTTGTTTTCTTTCTTTATGTGCGTGGGAATATTCTTCTTTGGGTGCATCCTTGCATGAAACAGAAAGTACTCAGGGTAGATCTAGCAGTAATACATATTCATGCTTACGATCTTGGCATGGTTGGGCTCACTCGTGGAATGGACCTCAAGTACAGCTGTATATACGGTCTCATACAGTCTCACACGGTCTCTCAAGGTATTGTACGGCCGTTTATACGATCATACAGGGAAATTACATCCGTACCAGGTTTTTAAACGTTTTAAAAATCATACCCGGTTAACACGGATACACTCGAATGGCCCAAGTGTAACTCGGATAAACTCACGGTTAGTTCGATTGTTTGTACGGTTTACACGGGTGGTCAACCGTATAAGTAGTGTGTTCTGTGTGAGACGGGCTCAATGCATGGTACGCCAATGTCGACACCCAGACCCGGAAGTACCTTCGTAGTATAAAACTTATTTCATTTTTCAGGACTCCGTTGGCGAAGAATTCGTTCTCCTTCGGATAAAGCCAACTAAAGAAACAAAAACTAAATTTGCAAAACTTTCGAACTTAATGTTACCCTCACCCGACTACGATTATCGGGTCTACAGTAAGGACGAGTCAGGTAAGTTTTAAAGAAATACAAATTGTTTGATTGTATTGCATTCGTTGTTTCCTCAACATTCCAATTTGCTGAAGAACATTTAAATCGGTTTATAAGGTTGAAATTTGATTTTCAGCGTCTGTATCCGACATGTCATTAATTTCTATGCATTGTAATCAAAGCGTCATTCACTTTATTTTCTTTTAGAAAAACAATTCTCTATTGTTACAAGTAATTTAATCTTGGTAAAACGCATTATTTCACTATAAGCTTTCTTTAAAATTGTGTTTATGTGTTCCTAGTTAAATAAGGGTCAATTCGCCTTTTCAGACACTGAGGACATGTCCCCAATCATGTCCTTAAATAATATTTAGCTTGCCAAAAAGTGATCTATTAATTTTGAATCCAGTTGTTTACTGATGTCGACAACATTAAATTTTATTTCATTTTTATATAGATAAAAATGCAACAGGAGTAGGTTTAAGACATGTCCTTTAATAGAAAGAAGTGAAATTCAATTTTGTAACTGTGAGACATTTAAAATTAAACAAAGTATGAATTGTGTTTCAGAAAATATGATACAAAAATGTATATTCAATAATTTGTGACAACTGTAGGCAGTTTTATATTGGCCAAAAAAAAAAACAACGAATTATGTAAACTTATGATTTTACATACGCAACAAACAGACACAGAAGAACGCATAATGTTGCAAGTCAATTAATCCTTACGTAAATGTTCAGGCGGAAAATTTAGTATTCCCCCTTTTTACAAAATATTAAGCAATAGTGATTTTTATAGCAGAAAAGAAAGGTATCTAATCCAATTGTTAAAACCACACGTAAAGTTTGTTTAACAAGTCATTTATATATAAGTACTTCATTCTTCATTTTCAATCTTTTCATTTTTAATTAATAAGAAACACTTGCGTTTTTATTCAGTCATATTGTCCGTTTAATAACCAGTATTTATTCAGTAAAAATGTTTATTACCATACAATTTGTGGCCATATAATAATTAACATATGAACTTTATGATCTCCCTTAAATAAATGCCATTTATTCACTGCCAGATTGTATGGATCATGCTAAATGTCCATAATATTATAGTTTTACGGTATAAATTACAAACATTTTGTTTTCCGGGAAAAACGTTATCATTTAAAAGTGGCAATCCGCAATCAGACAATTGTCTTATAAGCATTTTTTTAAAAGATTTGGTATTTGCATTGCTACGAAAACCTCCGTAAAGTAACAATGCTAATGGCTGGGGGTGGGGGTGGAGGTTTGCTTGAGATTTTTTTCTCTTTTATCAGAGTTATTGCTATTGATAAGTGAAAACTTGCAATTTTAAATTTGTGTCGTGCGTAGCTCAAAAAGTATTAAACCTAGTGTCATGAAATGTTGTTCAGTATGTGTTTTTTGCACCTTAGGTTTCGCTTGTGGTTTTATCCAACGACTCTAGTGTTATTGCCATTGAATAAGTAAAAAAATCATTTTCAACTACTTATTGCCCTTGCCTTAGAAAAATAATTTTAGTTTTCAGCTTGTGTCACGTTTAGCCCAAACAATATATGATCATAAGTCATAAGATTGACAAATTGGTGGAGAGTGGCAGCACTCGTGTCTATGGGCACATTTCTTGTTTTATTTATGCCGTCTTAATGGATTGCAGTCATTTCGCATGCATAATAAAATGCGTATTTGTTTTGTTTTATTATAGTTTCCTAAAACCTGTCGTATTCAATTATTCCCGCTTCTGCTAAACCATTATTCGAATTTTACTGCCTTTTGCTTAAATTTGAAAATGGTCCGCATACTTTCTAATAATATGTAAATAAGCCGTTACTAAGCATTCATTATTTATGCAACATTTATTTATTTTACAAGTTAAATAGACATTAATTGATTCGTAGCTCGGTTTGTCTTGTCAAGTTTGTATTCTTTAATTAATTGAACTATTTCTTGAGCATACAATACTTTTGTTCGTTTTAATCATTTAACGGCTTTGTTGGCAATATTGATCCGAGACACTAAATTTTCGGGATGTTTTTCTTAAGTTTCGAAATTTCTTAAGGTAACACTTAGTTATGAACAATTTAGATCTTATACCTGGAAATCTTAGAACTTGCATAAAAAGAATACGTATGTCTTTACATACATAACTGATTCAAACCGGACGCTGACAGAATTCCTAGAAATGAACGATATTGTATATATGTAACCTTCGTGATATCGAAGATGAGGACCACTTATATTAGTATGTACCTGTTTTCTTGAAATTCATAAAAATATATTAAGAGATAGTACTATGTAGACCAAGTATTATCAAATTTATTAAATTTTTAAATTGTAATAATAATAAAATATTGCGTAACTTGGCTTACTTTATCAGAGATGCTATGGCTAGTAGAATTTCCCTGAATAATGAATGGTTTATCCTCTATGTTGGAAGTAAGCAGAATATTTCACGTTGTATTCTCTATATTTTCATTGTTAACAGTATGTGAGTTCAGATTTATAGCTATATTTATGTACATTTCAAAATGTGATGTGACTATTGTATAGTATATTTAAATTGTAAAAAATTGTAAGATGATGTACCACGTACAAGTCTTGAATAAAATTTCTGTTCTGTTCTTAAGATTCTAATGATATTATAGAAATTGATACGTAGTGATAAGAATAAGGGAATTGTCACAACTGGTTACAAGTTCGAATATTGGACAAACCTTTTTGTGACTGTGAAAAACTGCTTTTTTTCTGTTAATTTAACAAAACACGAGTTGATAATGTGTAAATTGTATCTTTTTTACTACCAGTTCTTGTGATCTTGATATAATCCAGGCGACATAATCATCAAAAATTGTGAAATTTGTTGTTAATTGTTTTATTTGGTTTATTAAATTTCTCTTTTGTTTCGCTTAAGGTGTTCATTATCAAACTAAAGATTATTGGACTTCAGACACTTCCTTGTCGGCATCCATTTACAGTCCCTACTACTTCTTAAAATGAGCCATCAAGTGTAACTTTGATAGATCTTGTAGCTAAAATGTTTTTATCCAACGAAGAATACGTTCTATAACACAATAGAAACACCTATCCATAGCATCAAATGCATCGCTAAAATCAAGGAAAACAACTTGTTTATGTTTGATTTATCAAATGCATTCTAACGTCCGCTTTAAGCTAAGTGAGATTATTATTATTTTATTAAGTTTATTTTCGCTCGGCGCCGAGATCTCAGCGTCCATGCCGGTCCACTCTAGAAGTCGCATTAGGGCGTCTATTTCATGCCGATCTTCCTAATCCTGTACTTCATTCGATGGAGGAAAGACAATACTGGCAAAGCATCATATTCCGTGACGGCAGCAAACAGGCGGTAAACATAAAACGGCTCTTGTTAGCGCCACCCTCCAGAGATAGTCACGACAGGTCAAATAATCACCTCTGGTACTTGAAATGACTTGACCTTGACCTGCCGAGTGCCTCCTCCGCGACGTGCACGCCTCTTGAGGGATTTGGAGAAGCGTGAGATTATCCGTCCCAAGAGCAATTTATTACGCAACATAGACTTACATTTGTCTGACCGTTCAATTCAGAGGTCTAATATGTCATTCTTGTCACATATTCGTTCCGATTATGACACACATGTGACACATTCGATCGAATACGGCACAGTCTTCAGCCGAATATGGAACATAATCATATGTGCAATATTCTATTTGAGCTAGTTTTCTATGCTTACCAAAACGTTTTTCTTTTCACGAATAAAAAATAAAAATTGCAACGTATATGTCACGTGTATTTTCACGGAAAATGAAAATAGATAATTTTGACAAATTCAAGGGCATTAACTCTAGCAATAAGTAAGTAGAAGTAGTAGTACGGAAAACGATAACAAAACCCCCAGGTATGATGATTCATATACTAACAAACACATTCATGTAAAGTTTCATGACCTTAGGTCAAGTACTGTTGGAGCGACACAAGTTGAGAATTGCAATTTTGACTTAAAGGGAATATTTCTGGCATTCCTGCCCGACTCGACAACCGACACCTAAGCTGCAGTTATATTGATCAACATTTTATGAACCTAGTTCAACTACTTTCGGATCTATGTGACATGCAATAATTTTGGATGGACGCACGCACGTATGCACAGCCGCACGAACAGACGAACAAACGAACAAGAACAAATCAAAATGCCCCATATCAGATTGGGGTCATAAAACGTTCATTTTCAAATTAATAATAATCAAAGGCACACTTTTTATACAAATATTTCTTTATAAATAGGGCAGTTTGTCTGTAATTGATTTAAAGCATGTTAACAGCTTATCACCTGAAGAGAGATGTTTTTGAAATGAATTAATTTGCCATAAAAGTAGCAAAATGTAAACAAAATTATGTTTTGACTTCCATTCAAAATACTCAAAAACTTTAACAGTACTTATTCCCAATATTCTAAAAAATCAGATGACACTAACTATATGGCTAATACGAAAATTGAAACAGCGCACGAAAAGTAAATAGCTTTTGAAAAATAAAAAGTTTAGGGGGTAGGGAGGGGGAAGGTCAATGAGCCTTTAATATTCAAAAGATATTTGGCCTTTACTTTTGGACCTATGAAACTATTTATATAAAAATAACATTGTTTGCCTTTAGAAAGGCTATATAAAGACTGCTTTAACCGACTCAGAAAATCTTTACATTTTTTATATCCAACGGTTCCAAAATTAATTACGATCATTTGGTGCCTGATATTTTGTTTTTAAGTGGGCACATCTATTTCAATTCAAAGCTATTATGGTATCATATTTTGAGATATTTGGGCCTGTCCATATAAATGTAAACTTCAACTCATGTTGAGTCCCGTCCCATAACATACATTTACTGGTGGAATAAATCTATATAAAATAAAAATGAACTGATGTATTTGTTTTTATGATATTTTGTGTTATTACATTTAATCAATGTAAAAATCAAATTATCTATGAGTGTTGTTTGCCTTTTTACTTATGACATCGGTAGCATATGCACTAAATTGAGTCAAATGATTCCTGTTATTATAACTTATTACATAGGAAGTCGTTTTGAAATTCTTAACGTGTATATTACAAGTACCGTTAATAAGTTAAAACAACGAGATTGATTTTTGACAAATATTGCTTTCAGGTGAGAGATCATTTGTTCATGATGTACAATTGATATCATATAACCAATGTCCGTTTTATAAATAAGTCAGCACAACTATACATATAAGATTTAGGTTTCCTTTACTACCTTCAATAATCTATTAAAGTCGCTTATTGCTTTAATATTACAGATAAAGTAACTGCAAATGATGTTGTTTTTGTCAGAGGCATTCAATGTGTGAAGAAAGGCATTGAAGGCAATTTTGGAGAGACACACAAATGCCTTAGAGTCAACATTGCCAAAACTACTAAGTGTTTCGTAGGTTAAATTGTTAGGATTTATAGTTCTTTATAAAACTTTTTTTATTTTCTTCAACTGTGCATCTAATATGTATCATCGTTTAGTACAATTAATCCAGTTATGTTATTTAATGAATAGATTAGACACTTTAAAGTGTAAATATCTATATATCTCCTGCTTGCAGTTAAAAACTAATATTGTAAAACTGCAGATTATATAAAAGATTATGTAAGAATTAATTTTATATATTTCTTTTAAAGAAAATGACACATGTACGGTTAAAGAGTTATCACATTCAAAGAAGCTGCACGATAATTTTTCCGGAACGCTTCATTCTGTTTACGTATAAATATTTGAATATCAGTGACATTCTATTACATTATTTACGAGAATTGACCATATGATTAAGGTACTGTTTATATATATTTTATTGAAATATAATAAAATGCATTCATGCGAAACAACGTTTGCTTGCAAACGTAGCTTGAAGTTTAGTTTGCAACAAGTATATAACTTATCAATTAGATTCACCGCACATATGAATAATACCATTCCTTTAATGTGTTTTGCCTTGTTACAATAGTTATAAGGCTGCGTAGAGATTTCAATTTGTTTCGAAAAAGTTTACAAAAACTAATTTGGATTAAGTTTTGATGTTAAAAACGGCAGAAAATACATTTCAAAGAAATTTATATCTAAGTGTTCATTTCTTTTTATCATTTTAGCCAGGAAACCCAATATTTGGATCGAAGGAAAACAAAGTCATGTTGCAAGGACTGACAGTAGCATCATCAGATTCCTGCTCATCATCGCTTTATTCATATGCGGTCATAAAACCGCAAGTGAGCTGGATAAACACGGTCATTTTGGGTACTTATTACAATTCATTACTCTTATTTTTATTATTGTGATTGTGTACATAAAAGTGATGGAATAAGGAATTTATTCCTTGTATCAAATAATGGGAAGTAATAACAAAAGTTATTTATGCACATTTTTTAAACGCCCGAGCAATTTCATTTGTTGTGCACCTAGATGTGTGTCTGTCAGTCCGTCTGTGAGCAATTAGGTTTCAGTCAGCTTTTTTTAACCAATAGGAGGTGGTCACTTTTAGTTTTATTGTGTTGAACTAGAATGCCCGGAGCATACATGTTTTGCATTGCTTTGTTGACCTCTACAAAAGTGACATAAATCACGACCCTTATATAAGAAATACACCCACTCTTGAATTGTATGTTGACTGGTAAAACTATCTTGAAATGTAATGTCCCTATAATTTAAAGCCCAACGCTTTAATAGTGGCATCAATTTCAAAATAGATAAATACAGAATCCCTAAAGAAAGCCCAACACGGCAAAGAAAGCCCAACACGGCAAAATTTAAAATGTTGCAGGCTCGGTTTGATTGAGCCTGTTCATGGACGGTACTGGAAAGTGCAAGTTACCGTCCACGCCCCCTAGCACCGGCTTAAGCAGAATTCAACATTTAACATGAAATAGTAAAATTTTGAATTAAGAAACATACGCAGATGTGTTCATACGGCGGTTATCATGGAACCTTCAATGTGACACGTCCGTGCCATTCCATGAAAAGCGGCGTATGGTCCCCAAGTAATAAAAAGCGTGTGCCCTAAACGAGAAAACAATGGGCGGAACTAAATAAAATGGAATTTTGAAAGGGGATCAGAGGTTATGAAGTCTTCAAGCACAGCATAAATTGACCGCGAACTTTACCGCAAAATCAAAAGTACTCATCTTCTGACTAAGGCCGGTGCACCTGTAAGTAAGTAAGAGCATCGAGGGCTAATTGGTTGTCGAGGTATTGTTTTAAAACCCTATTAAAATACAAGGTCAACGTGGACTTAAATTTTGACCCCTTGATCAAAATAATTTGGGGCCAAGACCAATGCACCGGTGAAGTTTTGGAGCCGATGAACCCTAGGTCAACGAGTTACTTGTCGAAAACCATTTTAATTGCAAGGTAAATGTGACCTTGGCCTTTGAGTCTTTGACACCAAATAAATGGGTCAACCAATGGGCAAGACATATACACCTTTGAAGTTTGAGGGCTAAGTGCCCATCGATTATTCAGTTTTTGGTAGGAATCTGTTTTTATACGGTTTTTATAAGGTTAATGTAAACTTGGCCTTTCACTCCTTACTGTTCTTACTTCCCAAGGCATACAAATACAGAAAATGTGAAAAAAGCCAATAGAGAAACAAAATAAACATTTTTTCGAAGTTTTTCCCTATTGTGTTAAGAAAATTAGTACTTTATTTTTTATAGCATGCATAATGTGTTAAAAAAACTGTTTGAATGTGTAAGATTTGGCGTTTGAGGAAAACAAATAACAGATTGCAGCCCTGTTGAATGAAAATCAAAATTGAAAAGGGACGTTTGAAAAAAAAAAAATCAACCGTAAACAGGAGCGTCCGCGCTTGTTAAATGTGATCCTGTTTTTAAACCAGACCAAAAGAAAATAATTCACCTTACCACTGGACGTTGGGAAAAATCTGCTGAAAAAGGCTTCATGTTAAATTTCTTTCTATATCAGATACAACAAGGTGAAAGGTTTTTATAAGAGTAACACTATTTAAATTGTTTTCAGGAAGTTACATTCTAACTGAACTGACTGTAAAAATGTGCAGGTGTTATTATCTTCATATGTTTCAACTTATTAGGTCTTACATGAGCTATTTCGCAGTTTAGGTGAAGAAGAAAACAACAACAAACAGTACAGATCTTCAAAGAGGTTACTTTATTTCCAAACCAAAACTATAGATTCCAGTCATGCCTGTTCCATAAAAATTAACCTGGGTAAATTGCGTTTCAGTAAATTAATTACTACATCGTATTATATTGAACATACGAAAACTTTGGAGACTTTAATTTTTTACAGATTGTGGCTCAGTCGAAAACATTCAAAATGGAAAGATTATTGTTGACAAAAAATCAAAAACGTCCGTTGGAGCTACTGCGACTATTAAATGCGATAATGGTTATCTAGCAAGTCGGCAGAAAATTTTCTGTCTGAATACCGGTAAATGGCAAAAATCCATTTGCGAAATAAAAGGTAAAATTAAGTTTATATGCTTGTATAATCGATCCTACATTCTTTGATGATTTGAATAAAAATTGGATAAAAAATTATACAGGCCTGGTAGAACATTTTAACAATCGTACGCCAGTGAATTTAATGATCGTTTAATCGGCTATTAAAAATCATAATAAGTCATAGTGGAGCGAGAAATTGACTTAATTGTCTAAACTCAGAACATATAGACTCTTTACAAGTCACTTCGAGCAGGAATCATACCTTAGACTCAACCTAAAAGAAACGAACGTTCATTGCTCACACAATAACGCTCCGGTATATTAACAATTCGTGAAGAAACAGGAAGATATGTCGGTGTATTACCAAAACAGAGGCTATTTACATTACATTATGCGAATTAGGATCAATTGAGGATGAAATGCATTAAACGATTCAGTGCGAGAGAGGTCATTTCCTAATGACTTAAAATAATTATACAAACGTTTTAAACCGTTCTCCTTTTGTAGTTTGTTCATAGGACACCCTTTAAAAATCGTACATAAATACCATCACTCATTTTCTTTTTTTTTAGTTATACTATATTGAATTCCAATTGGTAAATGTGATCTACTTTGAATGTTTCAATTTTAACAATATTTCTCTTCATCGTCAGACTGTGGTCGTGTTAAAAAAATTGTACACGGAACAGTTGTCCTTGACAAAACAAAAACGTCGACATATGGAGCAACAGCGACTGTAAAATGTAGTCCTGGTTATAGACCAAATCAAGAGAAAATAGTTTGTTTAGATACCGGGAAATGGGAACCAGCACGATGCAAAATAAAAGGTAACGTTCAGTATGTATTAGATACAAAATAATAACCGCCGTTTATAGCCTCTCAATATATGATATTGAAATATAATTAAACTTTTTAAAGTACCAATTCTTCTGTAAAGATTCACTTCTATCTGCTTATTATATTTGAAATATTGTCTGTAACGATGTTCCCTTTCTCATTTAAAATACGTTTATGTTATTGTCTAAGTACTATATGCAAGCTATGTTAAGCGGTGTAACACCGCACTTTGGGGTCCAACGCACTTTGGGGTCCGACCCCAAAGTGCGTTTAACCTCGCACCGCACTTTTGGGTCTAACGCACTTTTGGTTCAAACTCGAGAAATTGACCCCAAAGTGCGTTAATGTGCTACATATCAACGCACTTTAAGTTCCAGAGGTCTAAAGGTGTCATCTGAGTTCTGCTTAAATACTGAGTACTGACTTATTTTCGATCTGCGACATTGAAATTTAAGAGGTGGAGTTCAAGATGGTGAGCATTACTTTGATGATGCTTAAGTGATAAAAGTTCATTAATTTTACCACTTGAAATATCTTAAAATTGTGTACATATAACAAAATTAGGATTGCATTAAAGTGATATTTGCATTTTGTTTTAGTTTTGCATACATATTATTTTTTAGTTTTGCATTCATATTTTATTTTAGATTTTCGTACACATTTTATTTTTGTTTTTCGAAAATATTTTGCCTATCAAAACAGCCTTCACATCTCATAACAGCCCATATTTGGGTATATAATTATCACAGTGGCTTGGTCACATTTTGGCCCATTTTTGGAATCGGCCCAGTCGTTTTCGGCCGTGCAAGTATGGTTTCGGCCGAACATTTTTAAATTATACGTATTTCATATAATTATCGTTTATTATTATTATTATATACTAATATATATGTGTCTATTTGGGAAGGACTGTTGATTGCTGATCAGTTATTATTATGAATATACACCACTCAACCCCACCCCCTGAGAATAGAGGGGGTGGGGGCATTGACTTAAAACCAAGCCGACCACTGGTAAAATCTTCGCCCTTCGAGGGATACTCAGATAATAACATTCCTGCCTTATTCTCCGGAACAGCGCAAACATCAAAACACGATAATTTTTTAACCCGTACTAGGTTACAAATGACTGATGTATTACAATAATGCTTTTTAAAAGATCTAAAAAGCTCCTTATATTCCACTGATTTAGAAAAAAATGCTTAAAGCTTCGAATGATTTTTGTGAATCTTGGGTCAATTCTTTAGCACATTCAGATAATGTGCAGAACTTAAATGCCAGGAGTGGCGGCTCAAGGTCGGGGGTCACACCTAATCAAAGGATTAAGACTTGGGTTTCATGTCCGCTCCTTATCTCCAAAACCCCATTAAGGATTTTCAGGCACCTTGTGTAAAATGTTAACCACATCGAGACAGTATGCAGAACCTTTCTTTGGGTTACCGCGGACTAATATATACTAATAGTGTTGTTATTTTTTTGATACCTCCAAAATGAAAATGTTGGCCATGGCATTTGCAAATGGGGTAATGTAATTTACAGATGTCAAAATGTTTAAAAATGGTGTTTTACAAATGGTGTGATTATCCAAACATCTACTTTGCAAATGGCGACATGTAAAAGCATGTACCAAAAAAAATAATATACGTACAAAACACTAGAGTAAAAGATGTATGCAAAACTTAAAAAGAATATGTATACAAACTAAAAAAGTATGTATTCAAAAACTAAAAAAAGTATGTATTCAAAACTTAAAAAAATATGTACGACAAAAAAAAATGTATGAAAAACAAAAAAAAAGTATCAAAAGAAAAAATGCAAATGTCACTTTTATGCCACCGTTCAAAATACTCTATAACAGAAATTGGGTATTCCTAAAATTAAAAGATGCCGTGAAAAATGTCCCGTTCTGTCAGTCATTTACTTGATAACTTTTGGTGCCATATTGAGCCCCATGGAATGAAATAAAATGCAGTTAATATTTTTTTTCCAAATAACTATGAATAAACTCGATTGCAATGTTCAGGTGAAACATCAAGTTTTTTGATCGGGCTATAAAAAGTGAGTTTTACAAATACATTATTAAGCTTATCAACAAACCTAAAGGGTTTTGTAAGCTCCGTAACAACCATTCGCCAGGGAAATCTTACATACTTTTTAAAAAAGAGCAAACATGAATTTAATAATGTTAAAGTAATGGTATCGGAGAAATGTAAGATGCTTGTTACCTAAATAAAGTGGCGATAAATGTGAACTTTTTTGTCATAAAAGTAGTCAAATCAATGTAGTATTTGACTTCCATATAAAATACTAATTCACTATAACTGTACTCATCATTGCCAAAAAGCAACAGATGAAGACGGTTAAGGTAATTGGCCAATGTGTATTTTTTGGATAATAAAGAAGAACATCAAAATGAAAAGCTTTTAAGAAAGAAACAAATAAAAGCATAATGGGCCTTTAAGAGGTTATTTCAACCATCGGGGAGATCGATACCCCACAATCACCTCTATATCCCCAGTGAGAATTAACATTATTCTGAAGCCCCGCTCTGAATGTGCGACTACTTAAATAGTTAATATCTTTAGTACAGAACAGAACATAACATAATCTTTATTTGAGATGCACAGATTACAAGGTGACATTTTGTAATTACATGTGTACAAATATATATATATATATATATCAATATTAAATGGGTATCATAATTTAAAGTTTCATGTGGGGAAAGTGTATATTATCAACATACAAATTTCACAGGTAAATATTATAAGCTTTTAACACAAGTTCTAATATATATATATATATATATATATATATGTCTGCAAATTTTAATCTCAAGTTATCTAGAAATCAGGGAAAAATTAACAAATTTGCACGCACAAACAGAAATAATATATTTGTTACGCGCATACATAAACACACACGCGCGCACACACACACGCACGCCCGCACACACACACATACAGAAGTACTATTTGAAATTTATAGCAATAGGAAAACAGTAAGAACAAAAAATACAGCATACAAAGATTTTGCTATCATGGTGCGAAGTGAAATCATTTTGCCGTGGGAAAATAACTACTACAACTTTTACTATCCATTTCGTTCGAACACGAGAATCGTGATTTTCATTCATAGCTAATTTTTAAGGCGTGGTTTAAAAAATTACAATTACATTTACGACATGCGCTTATGAAAAACGAAAAATAATATATATTTGGATGAAAGATATTTAGTATTAGGTTACCAATTATATAAATAATTTAAAGGAATGACCTAAATGGATTTCCCAATGTAATCATGATTGGTCATTTATTCACGCGTTCATAAAATCAATGTTTATTTCACTTGACCTGGATGATTACACAAAATAAAGCCGGAAGTGTGCTTAATTTCGTTCGGATGGGATTTTATCAGTGGAATTTAATGTACTTGTTGAATCGTAAGAAGTGCGCGTACATGGAATTATATACCGGTGAGTGTAATAAGTTGTACAAATTGCTTTTGTTGTTGTTGCTGTTTTTGTCTAAGTTTATGCATACCTTTTTAACGCCTGCCATGGTAAACGTATATAACATAGCAAATCAAACTTGCAGTATTTATATTAATAAACAACATTGATCTATGATATTTCTAAAGTTTGATGCATAATCATATGAAATTAAGATAATAAATTTTACGATCGCTTAAAAAACTTCATAATGAATGCTACGTTTTTTGCGAGATTTGTCAGCTGTATTCGGTCATTAGTGGCAAGCAGTTCCTTAAATTTAAGGATATTTGGATTGTTGTAAAATCTTCGTTTTAAAAGCTTATTTCGTTTTTCTTTAAAAAATGGACAGACGAGTAAATAATGGAACTCGTCACCTAGGTCATTTAATGGGCAGATATTACATTTACGTTGCTCGTGGGGGATAAATGACTGGCTCCAACGGCCTACTTCAATCGGGAATCTTTGTTTGCCCGTGCGAAAATGCATAAGGGCAAGTCGGAGAGAATTCGGGAGTATGGAAAAGTATTCCTCAAACAATGTGTTTTCTTTAAATATATTGTACATTTGACCTTTGCTTGAAGCCTCAAGTTTCGAAGTACTGCCTGTACGGACTACTACTTAAAGCCGCATATACACCTAGTCAAGTTTATCTTATATGTCACATTAAGCTCAATAAATTGCTCTTTCAACATATTATCAGGCACATTTTTTACTGAAATGTCTTACTAAGATTACCTTGTCTATGCTAAGACTATCATATTTCTATAAAATGTGTAAGTAAAAAACGGGAAAATAATGCATTTAGCTAAAAACAATGGAGTTAATGAAAGGTGTACATTCTTTAAAAAATAAATGGAAAATTTGAGAGAAAAAATATTTTAAGGTTAATAATTGATACAAATTCTTTATAAGGTGATTTATTTGGTGAAATTTCTTCACTTACTAACCAAGACCATTTAAGTCCCTATTGATTCTGCTATAATTTAGGGCACATGTTTTGCATCTATTTAATACCTTAATTTTTGTTTATCATTCGCTTTGACTACAATATATTATTTAAAACATAATGGACATTAATTTTCTATGACCCCAACCCAAAGTGCCGTCGTTTGCCTCATGTTAAAAATGCATATGTACCTGTTTAACGCACTTTGGGGATCGAAATTGGACCCCAAAGTGCGTAACACACTCTGGGGTTGGACCCCAACGTGCGTTTGACCCAAAAGTGCGGTGTTACAAGGCAGGTACCAGTAAAACTACTTTTAAGACTAAACCCTTGAACATGTTAATACTTTTGGAGATTATTACAACAAAATGATTTATTGCAAAATGTGAAAATGTTTTATTGTTATATAAATCTTTTCCCATTTAGACAGCGTCTTTTTAGCTAAAATTAATGGTTCTCACAAATTCTTAGCTTTTACCATTTCGTCACGTCATAACGTAATTTCTTATTAATGTGTATGTGTTACGCTTCATCAAAAATATAAATCAATAG